AAATAGACAATAAAACAAATTCCAAATTCGGGCTTCCAGGTGTGCATGTTCGAGTAGAGGACTTATGCTATTAAAAATTTTATGACTATAGATACCATTGATTTTTCACAATGCAAGAAACATATATACATTCATGTAAATTCTTCATTACTTAGTTTCTCTTTAAATATAATAAGGTTATAAAATAATAAGGTTATAAATTTCTTTAAATATAAGAAGGTTTCTTTAAATATAATATTTGGTGGCAAAACTTTGATAGTCAGGAACTGCTACCAATCTCTACAAAGAATGTAAAAAAAAAAAAACAGATGCAGTACGAATTAAAGTCGAGCATTTAAATATAGCTTGTTTTCATATTTTTACTTTAGAACACCTACATGTAATCCCTAAAAGTTTTCAGAATAATTGCTTACCCAAACAAAAAGCGAAACTGTGACAGTGTATCCTGTCTCAAGCCCGGTTATCGGCGAAAACAGATTACTATAAAATGAGGCCAAATCCGTTTGCATTCGAAAACAAATGATAAAAATCAGGATATTCTTTTTCCATATTTATCGTTGTGAATTTGACACTAAATGTGCTTAGCCAGTTATGGTAGATATCAGTCTCTCTTACTAACAAGATACAATGCAATACAAATTTTCAAATATTTTTTTTTAATTTTTTAACTTAGATATACTAAGTTTGTGCTGCCTTGAAATAGATCAAAATATTTATAATTATGAAACTACGAACGCCATCGTTTCAAAAATGAATGCGCACTAATTTGAAGAAATTTAATAATTATTATTTCCCTGACCATTTTGTGCAAATCTCGAAACATCCTGTTTATAACCTGAAATAAAAGTTTAATTTATAATTAGTCCAAAGCGCAATCTGCCCAGAAAGACTATTAATTTCATTTACGCATTTTGCATTGAAATTTCGGTTGACCTTTCAAATTGTTGCCACCAAATATTAGAGCTCTATGTTATATTTAAAAAAATTAAATAATGACGAATCTGCGTAAATGTATGTATGTTTTTCCCATTATGATGAAACAACGATACCTAGAGTCATCCAATTTTGAATAACGTACATTTCTACCCGAATATGAGCATCTGGAAGCCCAAATTTAGAATTTGTTTTATTATCTATTTCATATTTTGTAAAACTTTAACGAATTTCGATTAGCAAACTCAACTATTCAAAAGCGAGCAATGGCAACTCTGTACGGAAAAAAAAAATCTCCAGCGCGCGAGACTGTGTATCGGAAATTCTAAAGATAAGCTCATTTTAAAATTATTTTAAGATATTGCTGTTGAACTGAATTTTACGGTTTAAGAGCGAAGAACATGATATTTAATAAATAAAGGTAATACATGAAACGTTAAAAAAACGCCCTTTTGGGCGTAATGTAAAATCTGTAAGCTTTCATTTTTTGTAATACTATCTGTTTTTTATTATTAGAACTTTTGAAACTTTTGTAGAAATTATTGCTGAATTTAATGAAACAAATTTCGTGTAGTTAACAATGTTCAGCGAAATTGTAAGGGAAATCTGTAAAATCATATATAGAAGAAACCATTATTATTAAAAATTATTATTATTAAAAATCAGTACAAATTCTAAAACAATAGTTGCGAAATTTAGTAATACTGTACTTCCTTGATTCTATGATGCCATTGATACTATATACGCACTAGTTGATTTCAGTACCATCAACAGAAATGTTTTAAGGAAATAAAAAAAAAATATGAATAAAAAAAATCGTTAAAATATATCTAGTATGTGCTTGTTTAATACTGAGTTTAATTTGTTAACTAAGTTAGAAGTATAGAAAAATTAACTATTTCGGAGTAATCAGGATAACAGTTAAGAGACTAAGGCGTTACCAGTTCTAAGACGAATTCATTTATACTGATGTTTATCTGAAAGGCGAGAGTATTATTTGGAATAAAAGTATTGTGCGGTGTTATTAGTTTTTAATCACTCCGCTTGTCGCAAATCAGTAGAAATTAGGATAGGAAATTTATCAGTATATCCTCTTTAAGACATGTGCCTGCCAGTAAAGAATTAGCATTTTAAACTGGCTCTAAGTAAATCATACAACAGCAGACGTTAGCATGCGGAAAGTCTAACAGAATTAAGTAACTCATTCACACCGATGTTATAAGTAGATAGAGAACATGATCTGACCTCAGTTAGAACGAAAGAGTTTAAATGTCACGTCAAATCTCACGCTTAGGTAACAATTAAGCGAGAGATACTTTAGACTCAAGGGTGAAAGAGTTAAATATTTTTTCTTTTAGATTGAGGTGAGCGAATTTTCTGAACTCTTGATAACTCCTAGCCACGAAATAAGTAGAGAGGATGAGGTAAAATAGTTTAACGCTAATTTCAGAGATAGGAAATTTCATAAACAATACACTGTTAGCAGAAATAGACATTAAAAAAAGATGTCTAATTTTTTTTTTCTTTCACAACGAAAGGTACTGAATTTAAAGTTACTCTCCATAGAATTCACGCAAAAACCTTTATGTTTTCATATGAATAAAGATCGCATATCTTCGCGACAAGCATTTTTTAGCAAATTGAACAATTTTTTATATTTTACCATATTTTTATTATATTCCAAGTTGTAATTTTCCCTTACAATTAATACAACAGTCTTCAAACAGAAGTTTGAAACTTTTTCCTCCTTAGGTCACATGCTATATATAACAGAAGTTCATCACTAAATGCATGATTTGTCTCTGGTATTTTTAAGGGGACTCGTACACCTTAAACCCCTCATGATCTTTAAATATATGACTGTTGCAAGGATTGGGATATTTTATTTATTTTAAAAGCAATTACTTCCAACCTTTTACAGCTGATTTACATAATACAGCTGCTTTAGAAACTAGTAACCAGAAAGTTTGTGTTGCCACAAGTATTTTTGTAATTTAATCCTCTTTGTGACAAAATATTTCGTCATGTTTCCACCTAGCGCGCATGATATTTTAAAAATGGCTGATGGTACATACTTGAAATTAGATGAAATTCTTTATATGGGCACTATTTTCGAACTGAACCAACAATATGATAAATATTTTTAATATTGAAAAATTTTATGGACGAAAACATTACAAATTTTGTTAATAAAATACATTTTATAAATGGAACTCAAAATAAAATAAAAATTTAACATGAAATTTTTAGAATTTTAGGTTCACAGTAGTTTCCAAATGTTATAAAAGCTATATATTAAATATGGAATTAAATTATGAAACAATGTTTTAAACTGTGCGCGCAAGTTGGAAACATGACGAAAAATGTTGTCACAAAGCGGATTAAATTATAAAAATATTTGTGGCAACACAAACTTTCTGATGACTATTTCAGAAAGCAGCTATATTATGTAGTCAGCTGTAAAAAGTTGGAGGTAATTGCTTTTAAAATCAATAAGTAATCCCAATTCTTGCAACAGTCACCTATTCGAACATCTTATGGGTTTTAAGGTGTACGAGTCCCCTTAACATACGTTCCGAAAATTATTTTTAAAAAAAAATTGCGAGATATGTGAAAATATATATAAAAATGAAAAACGAAAATGCTTTGTACGAAAAAGTAACAAAAAGTTTTGCCGTTGTGATACAGCTCGCTTGTCTGATATCAGAACAAGCTCACGAAATTCATCATTGCAAGGAGGTGACTGCGCCTGCCATTGACGAGAAACTTGGGCACCATACAGGTACAGTACGACTTTTGACTGCTCATTTCCGCTCTCACTTTTGAGTGAATGCTCATATCTGCTCTCACTTTTGAGAGAGAGCATCCCGGGGAATTTCCCACCCCGTGGATCTCCGTGGATCTCCCACCCCTCTTCCCCTACCATCAGACTCTCGAGAGGACTTTTGGCTCGCTGCATATTTAGAGCGCCCGCATGCCGTACAGACACTATACATTTAGAACCATCCATGCCTTCTCCGTGATTCGAACTCGCGCCTTTCGGTACAGCAGTCAGAGTCGCTAACCACTATCCTGGTCGGGCTGCATACCAAAAAGTGCATGGGCATATGCATTCTTCAACCAAAAATCTCATAGAGCAAAAACAGTAAAAGATAAGTCCCAGAATCTAATACAGGCAAATGCTGTCACTTTCCCTTTTCTTATTGATTTCTACAAGCACATTGCGAAGGAATTAACTGACATAAGATTCCTAGGATTGTTAAATTATGATTGACTAACACTACGCATATTAGGAGTTCAAGTATATATACTTGAACTATATATACTTAAAGAAGTATATATACTTAATATATACTTAAAGAAGACGTATATAAAGTTCAAGTATATATAATTAAAGAAGACGGCAAAAAATTCAGATGGAAATTCTTTCTAACGAGTAGATGGAAGAAAAAACGCAACAAAAAATACTGTCCCTTTTCCAAGTCACACCATATGGTAGCTGAAGCAAAATCCTTATATCTCTCAAAAGCAGAACTACAAGAGTCTGTATTTTTTTAAAACACTTCTTGATCTTTCTGTGAAGTGACTTAACATGACTTGATTTAAGTTATCTTGGTTAAAAAAGCAAGAGGGTTATTTTTTTTTTCACAGAATTGTTTAGTTATATTTAGATTGTAATCGATATCAGTTTAAAGAATTTATGGAAATATTAAAATATTTTAAAAGTTAGTTGAATTCTAGAGTTAATTAAAAAATGCCACAAAATGTTATAAAAACCCTCGTCGAATTAAAATCTATTAATAATTAGTTGTTTTTTTAATTTTCTAATACATGCTTTCAAGTAAATCTATTTGTCCTTCCATTCTTACTACGAGTACAAAGCCATTGTTCATTTCGTTAGAAGATCTCAATTAGAATTAACAGCGATAAATGACGATCTCATAAATTAGCGTGTCTTAATTGAAAGAAAAAAAATCCTGTTTCATGTGTAGTGTATGAAGATTCTACGTTATCTTAAAAACATATTCCAATTTTTGAGAAAAAAATAAATAAAGGGATAAACTTACTCTGATCGTTACTGGCATCGGTATTTGTACTGTTTTTGTCGTCTTCACTGGGTTCTTCTTTGTCGTCATCTTCATCTACGGAGACGTCATCCATATCGTCACCCGTCTTATTCCTGGGTTCCCAGGTCATTTTATTCTCTTTTTTCAGCCTCCGGCGAGCATTGGCAAACCAGGTGGACACTTGGGTGAGAGTCATCTTAGTGATGATCGCCAGCATTATCTTCTCCCCTTTCGTTGGGTAGGGATTTTTTCGATGCTCGTTTAACCAAGCTTTCAAGGTGCTCGTCGTTTCACGTGTCGCATTACGACGCCTTGCCTCGCTGTCCACTGGGTCAAACCTGAGACATGAAAAATGAATTAGAACACAACTGCAAAGCAAACTACTGCTGTATACAGGTCGCAAAATGTTTTACTTTGTTGTTAATCAACCATAAATCATGCTGATCATGATTAATTTTCATTCCTTGGTGTAAAAATGCGCCGCTTATAATTCACAAAGCATGTTGAACTTCATTAACGAATTGCACAATTTGGGGATAATTTAGTTCTTTTTTTTTTTTTTTTTTTTTTTTTTTTTTTTTTTTTTTTTTTTTTAATGTTTTCGTTTTATTATTCTTATTAACTTCTATACAAATTAGAAAAGGCAAAATTAATCGCAATTAGGTAGACTTTACGAAATAACTATGCTATGAATAACCATTTAGCTAAAATTATAATGAGCTACGAGACGTAGTTTTAGAATTTTTAAATGGGGAGCATAAATAAAAACTTGGAAAGCGATTCATTATTAACAAATTAACCCTAAAGCTTTTAATCAAATGAATTCATTATTCAAGAAACACTATTATGCCTAATAAAATAATACCAATTTATCATTTCTTTTATTTTCCCTGCCTCGCTATAAGCTGTGTTAAAACATACTTAATAATCTGTAGCCAGATTTCTCGAAATAACTAAGTATTGACTGGCCTTTTAATGAAAAACATTACAGCAAACTAAAGAGACTTTTAAAATTTTGGGCGTGAAACACTTAATTGTATGAAAAATGATTCATTGCGTTACAGGTACAGTGTTTATAAAAATAATTAATTTTTCAAAATTCTTTATTGTGCATTTCACTGCATAAGAGGGTAATGTCAGTTTATCATCACTTTCAGCTTTTTATCATTTTCTTGAGATTAATTTAGCGCAAATAAGTGGAAAAGTTCCGTAGGTATCATATACGAAATTGGAAAAAAAAAATTGTGTGCTATCATATTAATCCTAAACATACCGCTTCTTAAAAGGACTTTTAAAAGAAATACTATATAGAGTTTTACGTCTGAAACTGTCCGAATAAATTTTATTATATAAAATTATGAAAGGCGAGACATTTACAATTATTTAGCTTCGCAGTTTGATGTAATATATTATGGGAAGATATTATTCATTGTTTATATTTTAATTCATTGTTTATATTTATTATTATTGCTTATACTTAATTATGGCACCTAATTAGTAAAATAAATTTTTCTTTCGTAGCGAAGGGGGTTTTATGTATTTACAAATAATAAAAATTGAACAAATTAAACATAAACCGAAACAAAAGCTTATGAAATATTAAGAAAACGCACTAAACACAAAATGACGGATGGTTTTTCACGATATTTTCTATGAGATAAAAAATACAATATGCTTTACATTCATTTACAGAATGTAAATTAGATTAAAATGACACGCTGAATACGCTGAAGTCTACAGATATTATTTGACTACTAGCGGGCTGCGGCCAATGAAAAGTTCGTAAATAATTTTTTTGTTGCCAAACCAGGACGTATGACGTCATGATTTAAATTTAATGTAATATAATAACTTTTCTCAATATCAATAAAAAGTTTTCAATAGAATTAACATGGCAATAACATATAGTGTCGATTATCTTAACCTGAAACAAAAAAGTTGCCAACAGCAGCTATTTATTTAAAATGCTGACATTAACGAAAAGTTTTCGACATACAATGACGTCACATGGAATCGCATGCATTTTTCAACGTCAGAATATGACCTTATGTAATAATAATATGTTTAATTTTTGGCAATGTTATTTTTATTTCATATTTTGTAAAACTTACAATTTTTTTTATTAACAAACTGTATGATTTGAAAGTGAGCAGTGGCAACACTTTTCGAAATACAACAGATTTTTATCTCCAGGACGAGACTTCATTCGGAAAAATGAGTGCGAAAATTAATATTTTCAAAGCTTTTAAATAATATTTCGGCTGTTTAAAGTCGTACGAATATGCGAATTGTCGAAATGGCTTTCCACCAATTTTTGGTATCCGAAATAATATATTTAATGTTTGACAATTCTATTTTCATTCCATATTTTATAAAACTTACGAATTCTTTATTAACAAACTCTACGATTTGAAAGCGAGTAGTGGCAACACTTTTCGAAAAAAAGCTGACTTTTATCTCCAGTTGTATCCACAAAATGTTGCCACTCAGAAAAATGAGTATGAAAATTAGCGTTTTTAGAGGTTTTAATTAATATCTCAGCTGAATAAAGTCGTACGAATATGAGAATTGTCGAAATGGCTTTCCACGAATTTTTGGTATCCGAAATAATATATTTAATGTTTGGCAATTCTATTTTCATTTCGTATTATAAAACTTACGAATTCTTTATTAACAAACTCTACGATTTGAAAGCGAGTAGTGGCAACACTTTTCGAAAAAAAGCTGACTTTTGTCTCCAGTTGTATCCATAAAATGTTGCCACTCAGAAAAATGAATATGAAAAATTGCGTTTTCAGAGTTTTTAATCAATATCTCGGCTAACTGAAGTCGTACGAGAATGGTCGAAATAGCTTCAACGAATATTTGGAATCCGGGGGGAAAGGTTCCTCTCTCGAAACTCAACTCCCCGCCTTTCCGGAGGAGATAATGCCACAAACAAACAAACAGACGAGCACATTTGAATAGTATAGATTACTCGCTACATCTGTGGAGAATTAAATTTATATGAGAGGACGCGTAAATTAAAATATATTTTTCTCCTGTTTCAGCCGTTTCGGTGCAACCAATTTGAACTGCATAAGAATATACAACACTGTTATCACCATGAAAAGGAGCATGGAATATAATCAAAATAATGAATTCTAAACCTCGCCAGGAAGTTGGGAGTCATTTTCATATTTTTGAGATTATGACATGCGATAATAGCCGTATAAAAATGCAAGCTATGAATATATAATTTCAAAGGTTATGTTTACGCAGATTTTTTGTGGACGTAGGGTGGGGAGAACATCTAATATTTTTTGTCTAAAAGGAAATAAAACTCTTTTCTATAAAATTAAGAGATTTTGCAGCAAACAAAAAAATTAGACTAGTTTTTGAAATATTGTATTCCTGCCTTTGTAGAAATGCATAAACATTCTCTATTTTGTTCTTTAAATTATGTAGAAAATTACAAGCTTCCATAATTTATTTTTACAACAGCAGACAAAGCTATTCGAGATCAGTTAATAAGGGGTTGCATAAAGCTAGCAATTTGAAAGAAACAGAAATGAATCATACCTGTCTCCGTAAGGTCCGTAAGCGGCGAACGTTGGATCGCATGGATAGCCAGCTGCCTGCGGCAGAGTTGCCCAAGCCGTCCGGGGATCTTTCATGTCATACGGGGAAGTCTACAGAAAAGAATGCAAGCAAATGCTATGATTAATTTTTGCCCTGGAATTTTGATGTAGAATATCTTTTGCTTCAGATTATTCTTAATATTCTCATGCTTTATGTAATCCTCATTTCTAGATTAACGTTTAGAAAAATTAATGGGATTTTATTTCTTATTATATACATAATATTATGTCGAAATGACTTTCGACGAGCATTTTCATTATCGCTATACTTTGCACAATTAGGATAGAAATTAAAAGAATAATAGAATTAAATAGAATAAATTATATTTATTTATATAAATAATACTCTTATTTCCCTTTTATTTTAAAAAATTGTTTCTTGCCTATAAACTAGTAGTATTTCTATTTCAAATTCAGCTAGTAACAAACAAACAAAAATTAAAGTTTAATTATTTTTCAGCTAATTATGTGAAGATATTTTTATTGTGAATACAATCTGTAAATGGCTGACATATTTTATAGTAGAATATGAATAAATATTTATGTTTTTTTTTATTTAAGTGAGAAAATATATTCCTAATTTACCACTAAAAAGCTAAATAATATTATTTCTTACTAACATTAATTTAAGGCAAAGTCGTTTTCATTAAATATTTGAAAATAGATAGAAATTACTGGCTTTAACATTTACTATCTGATTGGTACATTACTGTAACTTGTAACGCGTATGCTTTTTCATCACAACATAAATTTCCTAAATAATTTATCTGTGCGTCTAATATTGGTTTTCTGTTTTCTTACCACTTTTATTAACTTTCAATTCACAAGGGTTTAAATAATTTTCAGAAATAATTTAACTCGTTCAATAACTTTAAATTCAGATCCATGAATATTTTTGTTGATCGTTGTTTAATATTCTATATTGTTTCAGATGCAAAATCAAAGTTGTAAATTACTTTTAGTCCCAAATTATATTGGCTGAATTAACTATAATAAAATTATTTCCAAGCTGCCTTGTTATTATAAAATATGAAAAAAAAAAGTATTTTAATTTTGTGGTTTTGATTTTTATTGCAGTAAATAAAATTATAATATTGACTTGAATCATATTATTTTGCATCCTGTATTTTCTTCATTTTTAATTTAATTAATTTAATTACTTATTAATTATTTTTACAACATCTACGGAAAGGCGACCGTAAAATGTAAGGAATTTAAGAAAGATAAAATAATATCTTCAGTATGAGGATTGTAAGAGAATGTTTCTCAGCATAGAGTAGCTTCCAAGTAAATCAGTTTGAAATGGATAAATAGATAAATATAGCTACATACATGCAAATACGCACAATATGATTTTGTTGTAAAGGGGGAAAATGCACAGTTTTTCTTTCATATTAATATTTAATGCTTTATCTTATATTCCGTAAATATAGGTTTCCAATCTGACTTCTGTACAATTATATTTATACAACAGCATATTATAATCAGATTTCTACAACTTATGTATAACTAATTCTGTTTTGATGCCATATGTACGTTTTTGATGCATGCATGTAAAAGAATTCGAGCGGAAAAAAAAGGAGGCATTGAACTGGAAGAAAAGAAGATTGGTTCTAGAGCTAAGAAATAAACAAACGTAATTTTTTTAAAAACCATCTGAAAACATTCGTTTTAAGCTTATTACCTTATTTCAATAAAATACACATATTTGAAAATTATAAGTAGTGCAAATGTACGAAAGTAAATTTTTGTTTGAAATCAAAAAAGAAAAAAAAAAAAAAAATCATGAACAAGGAGGCAGGGACGACCTGTTTTGCACATAACAAGATTTTTATTCATTTTCATTTTCTGACAGTAAATGGGACGTATGTTTAGGTGCAACTGGAATATCACTGCTATCACTGGAAACGTGGGCATCGTATTCTCGGAAATAAAAGAAAAAAATCTGATGTGTACACCACATGACTTCCTTGTACGGAATATTAAATTATACGCATTTTTTCTTGCATTTCATTTTAACTTATTAGATTGAATTAAACCTACTTCGCCGACAGCGCATAAACCACAATAGAATAAATAGAATTCCACACAAGAATGCATTCTTTAAAATTCACTTTGTTTACCATAGCGACACTCTGGCGCTAGGTTTACTTAACAGTATTATATTTCGTTCATATTATAACTCATAATGCACAAAATTTATATCATTTAAAGAATTATCTAATCGTTGCCACATGTTCTATTCAAATACTATAATAAAGCTAGAATTATGTATAAAAGAAATTAAGCAAACAAAATAAAAAAGAAACAATTTTTCGCACACGATTGAGTATTTCTCATTCAATTAATTCAGTTTTCACTTCGCGACAAGGCAAAAATACATAAAAACTCAAAATATCTGTATTAAAAATTACGAAGTAAATCTTAAACGCTTATTTCCTAGAAAAATTTCCAGAAAGGATTAAGCATGATTTAAATAATAAATGGAGGCGTTATCTTTGTTGTTGCGAAGCTAAGTTTCTCTAGATTGTCAAAAAATCCACTAATCTGCTGTTTCAAATGTAAACAAGCAATGGCCGCCATCAAAAAAATTATGAAGCTTAGCGGCACTTAAAAACTTTTAAGTTGTTGATAATTTTTAAAATATCGCATGTAGATTTACTAAAGGCATAAAAACCTTAACCGGAAGATAAGAACTACACAATTCAATCATTTTTAAAGCAAAAAATGTACAATTTACAAACATATAAGAGTAAAGAAACTGAGATCGCTGAGCCGGGTAACCGAGTGAATATATTTATAAATATATTTATATACGTTTGGATATTTATATACGTTTGCCGATTGCAACCAAAATACGAGGTGCACATATACATGTTGTAGCAGTCCTATATACAAAATTTCAACGTTCTGAGGCTACTCGTTTTTGAGTTATGCGATATACGTACGTACGTTCGTACAGACGCCACGAAAAATTCTCTTCACAATTCATTTTAAAGCAGTTTTTTTAGTTTTTTTGGAGGAAAAGAGTCTTTTATTCTGTTCTTACGTACAGATATTACGCAAAAACATCGTTAAATTGCATTCGAAAGCGGTCGAAGTGGATATTTTCGTTAAAATATGCTGCCTGAAGCTTTTCGCGATTACAGTACTTCCTTTTTACTTCGCACAAGGAAGTAATAAAAACTAATACGCTTAGTCATGTGATTTACTACTCGCCATTTGGGGGGGGGGCGTTTAATTCTCCTTCACTATCTGTTATACAATTTATTCGTGCGTGCATGTACTACTGTTTCGTAGGTATATCACCATCATTAGAATAAAGCACAGATTTTCAAAAGGATAACAATCAGGCAACAACAACAACAAAATTAATTGTTTTCATTTGAATAATATAAAGTAAGTAAATAAAAAATATCGGAAACTTAATAATGTTGCAAAACCTAAAAAAAGGCCTCCTGCCTTTGTTAATTTTAAAAGTCTGTTAAAACTTATCCTTTTCATTAATTAATTGCTATCTGTTATACAAAACTGGGCACAAACACACCCACACGCTTCTAAAGCAAACTATCCTTTCTGACGAACGTCACCCTTTGCTTATGCCATGGAAATAGAAATTATTGATTGCCGCTTATGCCAAAAACTTACCAGTGAGGTAGGATAGATGACAGCGGGGTGGTTGGGAGCGAGGCCGGTCATGTAAGAGGCCGCCACCGGGTCCGGGTAACCTGCACCCGCGTACAACTCTGATAGTCTCGGATAGGCCGTGCCCAGCAGACGACCATCATAGGGCAGAGAGCAGACGCCGGTGCCTGGATGCGCCTGACTCACTAAGGTATCTGGAGGCATTGTACTAGGTGTAGGATAAGGAACACTAGGATGCTGTCCGGTCATCAGAAACTAAATGAAAAACAGAAAATATAACTTTTAAGACAATAAAACAGCAAATCATATTTCTGCCTCATAGAAAATGAGCAAAGATTTTCTTTTATGTAATAATAATAGCCAAACATATTTGTATCCGAGAGAAAATGAGTAAACTTATTATTTATGGCTTCGAGAAAATGAGTGAAGTTATTATTTATGCCCCACAGAAAAAATGAGTGAAGTTATTATTTATGCCCCAGAAAAAAAATGAGTAAAGTTATTCTGTTATATAACAAAAATATCAAAACATATTTTTGTCTAGGAGAAAATATGTAACGATAGCTTTACTAATTTTCTTCACGTTTCATTTTCTTAGAGTGAAGTCGAAGGAGAGAAATAAGTTTAAATTTCAAAAATTGAATAAAAATAGTTCTTTCCTGTATAAATATAGCAGATTAATTGCCTGTTAATTTTACGTAAGCATAACAGCAAGAAAATAAGTAAGGATATCCTTTTACGAAATAGAAGCAGGAAAATGCATTTCATGCACGTGACTTAATGAATGTGAAGTTTCGCTCTCCTTTCAATGTACGTCGCAAAGTTTTTTTCGTAACGCTTCAAAGTGTCAACTCTTGATGTTTTATGACTTCTTCAAAATAGGTACTGCATAAACATTCATTCTGATCAGATTATTGAAATGAAATAATAAAGCCACATTTTATCTACCTTTTTGCTTCTCCTGGCATGATCTGTGGAGATATATATTTTTAAAATGAGATACCTTACTTTATTTCACTGACTATTAAAAAAATAATTCGAAACATAATATTAAAAGGAAGTCAAATAGAAGGCAAATAAAAATTGATACTTCATTGTTAATGTTTACTAGTTATGAAATAAATTCATTTAAAACGCAATTAACTTCAAGCAAGGTATATGTGAAAGCATGAAAAAATTCATTTAGCTCGTACATATCATACTGTGAACTTTGGGTATCCACTAAAATTTACTTCGATGCATATAAACCGAAGAAATGCTGTTAAAAATGTTAGAGTTTTGAAAATTTTTCATTTTAATAACGATTAATTGCACTGTTTTATGTGCAATAATATTGTATTTTCTTCACAATTTTTGCACCTTTATTTTCGGAAGACAATTTTTTCAAGAGAGAAAGGCAGTACTCCAGTTTTTTTCTTGTGAAAAATTAAAAGTACAGAACCATTAGGCGAGGCCATCTGAATGAAGGAATGAATAATGTTGCCCAAGAATATGCTATTGCTATGAATTTTGCAAGTTAAACTTCAGACTTAAAGCACTTGACGTCTGCATATCACCCGAGCTTGAAAAGAGTGCAAAAATAGATCACGAATGTTAATATAAGCAATAAATAAGAAGAATTTTTAAAAAACGGTGTTTTGAATGCTTTGGATGCTTCTAATCGTGAATTAATCGGATTAAATACTCAAGGACTCACGATGAAGATGTCTTTGAATCCAGAGTCAGTTATAGGGAAAGTTATGCATCGGACCAATTATATCGAACCATCTGACCAATTATATCGGCCCAATTTTTACGATTTGCCTAATGTTTCTGTTCGATTGTTATAGGCAATAACAATCAGTCGTTGATTCAATTCCCTTTTAATTTTGGAGTATTCATGCCTATCAAGATTGGTCTACTGAGAAATATGTCATAAAAAAGTCAAGGTAATCTTTAGGAATAAATACTTAAGCTTCGAAAAAGTTTACTCATTTTTCTGCCTCGATTTTCTATCAATTAAAATAAAATATATAAATTAAAATAAAAAAATACATGTTAAATAAGGAATAAAATTTAAAATTTGTGCGAATATTTGTAACATTGTACATTTTATTAACTGAAATTCGACTAAATTCTATATATATATTCATTCCTATTAACTATCACATCTAAACAATAAAAGTATTTTTCTGCAACTAAACTTATCTCGATAATTTTTTTTATTCACACGCAAAATATTAGAATCCATTCTATTCGACTTACGTTAGTACGATCCCCGATATAAAGACCCATATAAAAATGTTATTGATTTCTCCAAGCAAACATTCTATTCAATATAAAGATCATTTGATACACTCTTGTTAATTTAGAAGTCAAACAACAAAAATCAGCGTTATATTTTCAAATTTTCACAGGACTAGTTTCGATGGTTTTACCGAACCATCATCCTCAGCTGCAAAAGCGTTCTTGTTCTTGAACACTCATGTTGTTTCCTAAAACCCGTTGTAACCAAGTGATGAGCTAACTAAGCGATGCAAGTTATTTAAGAATCAGCTTCGAATTTAGTCACATAAGCATTATCATACTACCGTTAATTCATAACTTAGTGTTTTTGATGACTAATAGAACTGAAACTAAATGTTATAAAATAAGGCAGATTCATATACCAAAAGCTCCATATTCAAAACATGAAATTTAAAACACGTAATGAGGATTAATAAAATAATCTCACTTTCTTTTTCAGCTATATTTTAATTAAAAAATATAAGTTTCTAGTATCGAACTTGTTTATTTGTCCTTTTTAGTTGCTGAATTAAGTAAGAAAAATGTACCTGCGCGTCCAAAAGAATTTTAGAAATGATTCCTCTATGAATGCCGTTTGAATCTACTTTTCAAAGTTTTAATGTTACCCGTAAGTGGTAAATGAATCGTACTTTAACATTTCATATGTGCACTCACACTTCTGTTCCTAAAATCCATCAAATCAAATTCGTGAATGCATCAAAATAAACAAGAAGTAAAACATAACGTTTAGATTACCTATTTAGTTACGTATAGAGGATATACGAAACTTCATTGTTAGCTAAATGCAATTGAGTGATTATTTCATTTATCCCTAACGCGAGAAACAGCAATATTTCAAAAAGATGTCATCAAAAATGTATTTTATTTCCCCTGTATAAATTACTATTTATCAGTCATGATACAATGGATGACTAAATTGCAGAGCTAAATGCAGATGAAAATCATTTACTTAAATGACTCATATAAATAATATCAAATGACTATATTCAGAATACCTAATAAGAGTTGCGTTAATTGTCATGAATCATTGTTTAAAAGCACGCAAAGCCTGGAAAGACATATCTTGGCTTTAAGCATAAGAAGCAATCAAGGAAAAGTATTTATCAGTTGTGTTTGCGTGTCTTCGCATACTTGTGAGAGTTGCCCCCCCCTTATTCCTAACTCCCTTATTCCTAAGTGCAATGAGTGGATCTACAGATTTATGACTTCCTTTTAGAAATGTGGTGTTAATAACTACTTTTAAAAACGCAGGTGCTCTTTACACATTTTGATAGAGAGCTCAGTTATTCTGACGTATAGAGGACATGCCTCAAAAAAAAAAAAAAAAAAAAAAAAAAAAATTGGTGTTTAAGTACAAAATGGAAATCAATGAAAAGAAACTATGTGAAAAACCAAGGCAAAATTGATATGTTTTAACAGACTATTTGAATTTTTTATCAAACTTACAAGTTTAACAGGCTAATTTTAAGAGGCTTTTGCAGCTTTGTAATACTTTACAAATGTGTATTTGAATTCATTTTGAATTGTTAGCGAAATTGTACCCAAATTTGAGTACGAGGAAATAAAGTATTTGGAATAACAAATCATTCTTTCAGAGCGCTCATCTTTTTAATTTTTCAAAAGCAAATATTATTTAAATAGCTTGTGCTTTATAAAAGCTGAAGTTGATGAAAAAAATCTTGAATCCAAGCTAGCAATAATGTGACGATCTATTAAAATCTACTTGTTTAGTTTTATCTGTCAGTCAGTTTGCTTTTTATTCGACTGTGGAAAAATTTACGAGGGTAATTTGGCTAAAGGGAGGGAAACATCCTTGGAAAGCTTCATGAGGAAAACAGACTTCGCTTTCATATTACACAAAGAGAAAATCACAAAAATGCCTGCAGTTCGTCAGCTTTTAAATTTAGGTCGAGCTTAAAACAGTCATCTATCTTACCTCCTCGACTAGTTGTAAATGGAATTAAAAATGTATTAAGTATTATTTCATTGCATTGTTGAGTTCCTTTTAGGAAAATTTCCAATTATTTTCCCACTTTCAAGTTAGGTGTGCACTAACTGTTAAGGTATTACAGTGGATGGACAAAAATACGGAAACACCTTGTGAAATGCATGTTTGAAAAGAAAGATTGATTTTAATGAAATATGTAGGTGGCGCTGGCGTTTTTGACTACTGACGCCCCCTATACAACTTCGTAAATGTGCTAAACAGTTCAGTTGTTGTCGGAGTACTGTTATGTGAGGTTGGTGAGGTTGTCATTGCATTATGTCAGAGTTAACAGACTTCGAACGTGGGCAATTTGTTGGAGCACGTATGGTAGGTGCTTCCGTAAGCAAGGTAGCCGAGGTGTTTAGTGTTTCAAGAGATACTGTATCGAAGATTTATTTCGCATATTTGAAAAGCGGAAAAACATCATCTGCTAAATCACAGCGCGGACGAAAGTGTGTCCTGAGTGATCGTGACAGACGATCATTATGGGCAATTGGGACGAAAAATAAGAAGACCACAGCTGCAAAAGTTACTGCTGAAATGAATGTTGTGTTACCGAACCCTGTGAGTACCAAAACAATTAGAAGGGAGCTTCATAAACAGGGAATTGCTGGCCGTGCTGCAATTGAGAAGCCACTCATCAGTGATGCTAATGCCCGTAACATGAAAAGGTGGTGTTTAAGTCATAAAGCCTGGACTATAGAGCAGTGGAAGCGAGTAATATGGTCTGACGAGTCTTCTTTCACATTGTTTCCCACTTCTGGCCGAGTTTACGTCTGGAGAACGCCATCTCAAGCCTATAATACAGATTGCTTGTTGCCAAGAGTGAAACATGGCGGGGGTTCTGTTATCGTTTGGGCAGCCATATCGTGGTTCTCTGCTAGCTCCATGATAACTGTGTCAGGGCACATGACTGTCAAGACTTATGTGAACATTTTGGCCGATCAAGTTCATCCCATGGTACAAACTTTGTTCCCCGATG